AACAATAAAATAGCGTAAGAAAATGTACTTAGAATGTTCACTTATTATAGTCTCTAAGTCTCTACGACAGAAACAGACAAGATACTATGGCATTGCATGTATATAGTCCGTTACAATTTACACGAAGGCCTTAATTGTTCTTCTTCTTCCAGAAAAAAACAATTAGCACAAAAATGTCTCGGCAATATGTTCAATTCACTGTGCAGAAAACCATGTCATTGTAATACGGTGTATGGTGTGTATGCACGGTACATAAGAAAGTTTTCGCGACGGCAAATTCGACTTATAGAAGAAATCAGTACAGTCTCACAAGTTGGTCGCAGGTCTCTACAATCTACAGCCTCAACGTACAACTCCATATTTTCACACTCATGACGGAAACTATGATTATCCTGTCAATTAATTTTCATCCTTACTCTTGACCAAATCCTGACTTTTGTCGACGTATAAAACACTTGCTAATTAAAAAAAAGTCGCAACAGTCTGACAGTATCGGAAAGACAAACAGTAACAAGCAAGTCAATTCATTACACTGAAACATTACGAGCTCACCCACATTTTAAGAGGATCAGTGATGCTAGAATTCGCTTGATTTTGATATCTTGGTTTCTTGTTTTATCCCTTGGATGAATTTGGAAATATCATTTCCAGCCATATTACTGTTTCAGAACATGGACGTGACTCGTGGGCGAAGAGAGGAATTTCTCCATATTTCTCCGTGTAGGCGTCTGATCTACATTGTGAGCGTGCTTTTTCCATTAAAGTTTGGACCATCGTGTAGGAGTATTCCATATTTTCTGACATATCAAGGGCGACTCTTTTCTCTTGACCACCAAACACGGGGATATCGAAAGCTTGAGGACAGCTGAGATATATTTTTCGCTCCATATAAACAAATTGCAAAACACATTCGCCACGTCACGTTATTAGTATATACCGCTGACCCTTGACGGGGTAACCATCGAATACAAACTACTCCTAGTCCAAAATTTGGTTCGTCACGTCTGTCTGAATGAATTTCTCACCTACACCAACAAAGGAGCGCAATTGCATATGTACGAAGTAAGGTACAGACCTAAATTTAGATTTCCAATTGCCTTTGGCGGAATTGTGGTAAAGGCTTGATTCAATTCCCTCCATACCCACCCACCACTTCCTCCCCACAACCTCCCCCACCTCTATGCGGACAAGCTGTAATCACGAGGTGCTATATTTGGGTCATCCATATGCATGCTTATCAAGAAAACTGATTTTCTCCACAATGGTCTTTACGTTCGGTTCACTGTTAACAAGCTGATTTGGTTCGTTTGTATTGCTTAATAAATTGTTATTCTTTGTTTGGCCGTCCATCTTATTGGTGAAATTGGTGTTCCGGCCGCAGGAGATATTATCCAGAATAAGTCACTCAGGAATTTAACTCAACTTTGGTGGTTTATTGTATTCCGCTCACGAAGTTAGCATGCTTCTTACATTATACACGTGGACTTATGAATCCCTAATTACTGACATAACACAACTTAACATGGCATTTACATCGACAACTGAAAATTCTGTGGCCTATCGATTATCCAGCGATTATATTCATAGATCATCGGCAATAATCAATGAATAACCAACTGATTACCCATCGATTCTCGTTGATTTAATTATTTTCACTGATGTCACTTTATTTGACAGCGAAGGTATGACCTTTTCACCGTTCCAATGTTTCAAAGAACGGTTGGTTTTCCGGTGAATCGATGCGTGGCTGCATCAGACTTTTCGCTTTCGATGAGCATATCAAATTTAAATTTAAATTTCTTACCAGTGGACACACAGATGATTCTCGAGGTGTCACGGCAGTTGATTCGTCGTTATAATGTAGATTTATTTTAAACTCTATACTTCTGTTCGCATTTTTTGCTATTGAAAAGGATGATTAAATAGTTTTCTGGTTTGATGCTCCTTCCCCTTAATTTCTATTCCTCAGCTAAATTATTCAAAACCTAAATAGAGCGTTTTCACGTGACGTCATTAAATTCTTAAATCCAAAACTAAAGAGCCACCAAAAGATTTTATCCTCATTAGGTATAAGTGGTACTAATTTTATATCTGTTGACAGCTTTCCAGCTCAATAGCTTCCTTCGTTTGGAAACCAGCGCATTTTGAATTTCAGAGTTATTGCGGTGCGTGACACGAAGCTACGATCGCGTTTGTCGAATTATATGTATTTATCTCGTGATTTTTAGCCATTTAAGACGTTAAGGTATTTGGAAAAGTGCTTATTTAAATGTTTGTTTGTTCACTGCAGTTAATCAGCGTCCTAGATAGCCAAAGTAAGTTCCAGATGTTAACACTATTTTCCGGCCGCCATATTGATGTAC